TTATATATTTGTATTTCATAAATAATTGTAGCACACAAATGATTACATTTAAGCGTAATTATATTCTAAAAATCTGAAATCCCTCTTTCGAACGTTTATTTAAATATATATATTTTTTTTTTAACAATATATTCAACGTAAGTTAACTCGAGAGATTAGTTTTTTTTTTTTTTTTTTTGTAATTACTGCAATGTTCTAAATAATTTTTAAATATTTTCATTGTATATATTCTTATTATTATTTGATCAGAATTATCGGTTGTATGTAAATTTGATTAATTTACACTTTGGAGAATGAGAAAAATATTTAATTACATTAGAACTCGTCTGTAGACGATAATTTAAGTTCGAATCTCGTAACTTCTAAATGTAAGTTGAATTTTCGAGGGAGAAGGGACAAAAGGGTTTGTAATGCTCGAAAGTAAGTTGTTCCTACGTGATTATTGTTCGAAAGTAAACTTGTAGTTTACTTGGGAATTGTTATAACTGGCATGATCGATCGTGTCGTTAAAGTTCTCACAATGGTTTCAAAAGATTTTGAGATTCCTTGTTGCGTGAACAAGGAAATGGTTGAAGAAATAGGAAAAAGTATAAGAAGAATAGAAACTATTTCTCTTCTTTTTATATTCGATAAATTTTATTCGTCGAATTTTCAATCGCGAACAAAACGTTATAGTTTTCAAAAGGTTCCACCAACGGAATATCGAAATATTTCAAGAAATACACTTTTCCCCCCGGTGTCTCTCGCGGAAAAATTCAAATAAAAATCTCTGACAAATTTGTTTTAACAAAGGAAAAATCAAATATCCTTTTTGCCTTTCCGATTTGACAAAGGACGTACATACAAAATCGAATTTTCTATTTCCTAAAACTGACCAACTGAAGATAAAATTTTCAACGTAAAAGTATATTTAAAGATATGTGTGTGTGTGTGTGTGTGTGTGAAATCGAAGAAAAATTCAAATAAAAATTCCCTTTAAAATTGTTAACTTCTCTCGTAAATAATAATTTATATTAATATTTCAAATAAATAATCAATATTTATAAAATAAAAAAAGGAATAAACGCATATTATATAGATTAAAGTTTTATATAATTACAAAACAGTAATTATTAATTATTGAAAAATTCAAATTTTAAATAGATACTAATAGAGCATATTATTACACATCATAAAATTTTATTTAAAAAAAAAAAGAAAAACAAAATCAGCGAATAAAAAGCACGTATGCGTTGTTAACACGCGAAAAACAAAACGCTCTAATACACTTCGTTTTTTTCTTTTACAATATTTCCATATCTAAAATTGACCATATGGAAAAAAAAAAAAAAAAGGGACGATAGATTGTGAGGAAGTGAACAAATAGGAAAGAGTTTTACTAGCAACGTATCCAGCAATGCGTGCAATGTAGTTCGGTATAACGCGTGCTTTCCTCTATTTAGGAATTGCATCGTAGCGGACGTGAGTCGATAAATCGGTGAACAAGCAAACTCACCAACTCGAAACACTATTGTTATATAGCAAAGTTACATTAAGCGTGTGATCGTTTGAGGTAACATTAATCGTACCGGGTAAAATCACCATTCTCACCGATTCGTTTAACGTCGCACAGTAATCGGCATTGAGTATTCCAAGCAATGTAATCATTTTGCGTTGGACTACCTCGCTACAGTTTAATCATGATAGTCGATCATTGTGTAAACAATTTTCTAACTTATTTTATTTTATTATATATTTTACATAAGATTGCACGAAAAAAAAAAATATTTAATCTTATTTATTAATAATATATAAATATAAGAAATATATTTTTCATGATCAATATTATATTAATTTTTAAACTCGAAACAATTACTTCGATTTCGAGATCAATTAACGCGTGCAAACAAAATTATAAGTTTATTTTATTAATTACACTATTATATCATAAATAATAATAATATTAATTATACATATTTTGATTTTTATTTTTCATTAATTCAAATTCATGAAAAATGTAATAATTGTAATGAAAACAAAAAAAAAGAAATTACATTATTCATTGAGACAATTTTTTTCTATTCAACGGGTTATAATATGTTAATTTTTAATTACAATTTTTTAATTAAAAATTGTCTACGAGTCTGGGATCGAAAGAAAAGGAGACTGGAGGAGCCTTAGTAAAAATGTCGATGACCCTTTGTCGAATATTAAAGAAGAAAAAAATATAACGAAAAATCTAAAGAACGCATTATACTTATATCGAACCAACCCCACCTTTTTCGCATGATGAATAAAAAAAATCTTAACGATCATTAAGACGCGCGTGTGTAATTTTTGTTTCTTTTTTTTTCCCCCGTAAAAGAAGAAAAAAAGGATGCAAAAGATCCTCCCTCCCCTCCCCTTCCCGCCCCCACCACTCGTGTTTTCTCTCTCGTATACTTTTATCTTTCGAATGTCAGCTTTTATCTGAGAAACCTTGGCGTGTTTCCGGGTACTTTGATGAAAAACCTCAGACTATTTTTCCATCCTCTTTTACTCGATCACACTTTTACGTGTGCGAGAAGATTGCTGGCAGAACGAATATCCGGATTAAGATGGCTAACGGGGATTTCACGATCTCAAAGATTTTTTTCGACCGAGTAGAAGAATAAGATATGAAATGGGAAGAGAACGGAGACTAGGAAAGAAAAAAAAAAACCGGAAAAAGAGAGAGAGAGAAATGTGAACAAAGTGGACGTCGTAGATCGTCATGTGACAAAGAGAAAAATCGAAAGAGTGAGAGAGAAAGCAATAGAGAAGAACGAATTGACAAATTCCGTATCGATCTTGGACATCGTCCAAGAGGACATCACGATTTTTATCGAAGTTATCGAATCGGTTGAGAGGATATAGGACGATCGATGGTTGCGAACCAATTTCCGTAACCACAACCCCTCTCTCTCTTTCTATTTCTCTTACAAATTAGTTAAAATTTTTGTCTGTCATTTTCTACCAAACGCAAATCCCTTCGATCGAATATCGTACTTATTAATAATTTTGGAATATACTAATGTGTATACTAATATTCGATTAATATAACACATTGTTCAATTTAATTAAGATCAAATAACACTTGTATTTAAATACGTTTAACGTTAATAAGAAATTTGTCTTAATTATAATCGTATTATTATTTTACTTTTGAAATTGATTATCTTTTTGTGTAAATTAAAATATTAATTGAATAAAAGATATTCTTTCACAAAAAAAAAAACCGGAAATCAATGCTTTTTTTTTTAATACAAGAACAGCAAAAATAATTATCACGATTTACAATTAATTCGAAAGACTGAATATTTAAATTGTTTTCTTATACGTCAATAATTTCGGATATAAACCAACCCAACCCAACCGTATGATGAATTTTAACATTTTCCAATTTCGTTCTTAAACGAGAACATAAATATATTATACATATCTACCAAAGAGTTAATCCATATATTTACGCAGAATAAACGTATATTATACAACAAACATCGGTTAAATTGTAGGATATAATCGTTATAATGATATACGAGTTAAAATACAATGACGATAACAATCTGTGGGACAGTATTTTGACACAAAATCCTAACACACGTAGAGAGAAAGAGAGAGAGAGAAGGTTGCATCGAATTGCACGTCGTTTTGCGTCACGCTCGTGTGTGTAGAATCTATTAATAAAGGGTGAGGTGGGGTGGGTGGGGGAGGTGGGGGGAGGGCCTTACTAATTTCGGTGAAAGCCAAGTGCATCCAACTATTATCTAGGAAGCGCAACTCGCGTACTTCGGCAAGTGCACGCTCAACCGGAACCAACGACGAGAAGCAAAATACGTCAAGCCCTGTGCTGCACGTCGTCGGAGTGCATCTGACAGAAAACCTATAGACGGGTAGGTACGGCCATTAATGAAATGACAAATGCGTTCCCGTCGTCGTCGTAGTCGTCGTAGTCGTTGTAGTCGTTGTTCATCGTTCGTCGAGGACGAAATCCAAGCACCGGATTCTTTCCTGCGGAAAATAAAATATTTAACATCGTGATTTATATACGAGGACTCTCTATTCCTTATTTTTCATTTTCTTTATCCTTTCTTTCACAAATGTTCTTGTTCTCTTACAATCGATCCTTCGATAAGAACTTTCTATAATTTTTCTTTTACATTTTTTTTGTTAGCATACCATTATTCTAAGATCGAAGATTCTAAAGTTAATTAGTTTGTGTGTATGCGTATGAGAGTTAAATCTATCGCAATTATTGAACGAGAATATGATCTATTACTTCCTTGTGACATACGTTTATTTATGGAAGGAAGAGAAAGAAGGAAAAATGAGATAAAAGTACGGTGTAGGACAGATAAGTAACGAATAGAACGAAGAGCGATTAGAATTCATGAATATGTGTGTATGGATGTGTGTGTCAGGGGGGATAAGAAAGATGACAGAAAAGACGTGAAATAAAGAGAGTAGTGAACAATCGTAAGTTTATCAATCCAAGTGAAAACAATTAAGAAAATCTAAGAATAAAGTGTAAAGAGTTGTAGTATTTTAATATATTAATCAATAAATCGTATTAATTATAAGAGAAAATGTATCGTGTGTATACGAAAAGTATCTTACATTATTATTAATAAAATAATTAATAAGGAAAGAAAATTGCAGTAAAATGTAATTTTTATAATAGTTCAACTAACGGGGAAAATGATTGAAATATACTTGACTTTTACATTTGATTGAAATAGATTGATCTTTTCGTGTACTTCTTTTTCACGTTTGTTTTTTTGCTATTTTTTTTTTTTTATCATACGTATTTTTATAGAAAATTTATTAAAAAGTGATATACTACGTCTGTCCACAGTATTTAATTAATATTTTATTCTCTCTAACGCGTAATCGTATCTTGTCCAAAGAATCGAATTATTTCACTTGTTATATAATATCTCTCTCATCGATTATTCTAATAATTTTCTTTATCTTTTTTTTTTTTTTTTAATTATTGTTAACAGGAGAACTACCAGCTGCCGTGCACGATGGAAACGGAGTATCGCGTGCTGTCCTCAATCTCTGGCTGATTCATTTGACAGTGAGCTACGTTTTCTTCAGATGACAATATTAAGGTACAAATTTATCAAACAACAACAAATCTTATCATCAACGTGAACAAAAAGACAAAAAAAAACGAAAAAAAAAACAAAAAAAGAAACAAAAGTCAAACTTTTTATCTCTTTCAATAAAAAAAATATTCATTTAAAAATTCAAATATAACACAATGAACATAAATGTAAGAATTAAAAATAGAAAGAAATGATAGTAACTTAATCGAAATGTTAATTCAAAATATATATATATATATATATATATTTACAAATGATATAAAATGAGTAAGAACAGCAAGTGTTTAAGAGAGATAGCGGATTCGATCGAATGTTAATTCAGTCATCGTTCCTGTCACTCTTCCTCTATCTTGAAGACATACATATAAATGATAAAATGAGAGAGTGCAAGGGTGAAAGGGATTGCAAGTTCGATCGGAACGTTAATTCCTTGGAAGGACAAACAAGCTTTCAATTATCTCGCTTGGACTACGTTTCTCTTGGGTAAGAAAGATCCTCACAGACGGTTAAGCGTCACGCTCGGTAATCCATCGTCCTTCCTATCAAAATTCACGAACGAACAAACGATTTGCTACCTGTTCGCATAAATCGAATCATTCACTTTCCCGTTTTAAAGGAAAAATCATATCGATTTAGATCAAAATTTTTACTATTTTTTGACAAAATCTGTTAGAAAAATAAACATTTGAAATATTCGATAACGAAAACTATTTTCATTTTATCCTTTAAGTCATCAAATATTCATCGATTCTAATTGAATGGGATAGAATAAAATTAGTCTGTGTCATTTTAACGGTTAATTTATACGATTTAAATCGATTTCTCTTTTTTTAAAGCAAATGTTAAAAAAAAAAAAAAAAAAAAGGAAAAGGAAAAGGAAAAACGAGTTTTCGCGTTAAAAAAATATTATGGAAATAGTTTCTTTTGATCTACTTTTTGTTTATGTAAAATAGATTTCTTTAAATCTTCTTTTTTGGTTTATCGATATTCGCGTTTATTTAAAGAAAAATAATTTAATGTGAGATCATTTTTACAAATTATTTATTATAATTAACTATAGCTCTAACATATTTAATATAACTAACGAAGAAATCATTTTTCATTGTTTTAACTGGACTTTAATTTTGTTGTGTTTAATACAAGAATATCTTTTTTGTTGACACTGACTAAATTTTCACAATCCATTCGTATATGAACTAACCTTATTCTTAGTATAATAAAATTGAATATGCGAATATTATACTACAACTTTCAATTAATAGATAATTTATTTTTACAGAGTGGATAAAATATTGTGTTATAGAGGATTAAAATAATCTCTCTCTCTCTCTCTCTCTCTTTCTCTCTTTATTTCTTTTTCCGAAGCGAAAAAAAAATGAACACACATAAAGAAAACATTAAATGCTTTTTTTTTAAACACAAATTCTTCGTCGTATTACTTCTTAGTTACTAGTTATTTTCTTCTTCTTCTTCTTCTCCTACTTCATCTTTTTCTTCTTTTTTCTTATAAGATATTTAATCCGAGTTTCGAATGAGTTTCCTAGACGCTAACAACAGGAAAAATGCCATCGACTTACGCGAAGTTAGGGGAAAGAAATTTTCTGAATTAACGCGAAAAGAGATCTCACTTGTCTTACTTGTCTCGAAGATTTTTTTTACTTGACTGCACCGATCGAATAACGAATTAAACTCGGAAACGGATTTCTTTCTTTCTTTCTTTCTTTTCTTTTATTTTCCTTTGAAAATTCTTCTCCTTACTTTTTTCTTTCCTTATCTTTTCGTTTAGTCGAGCTGAATTATTTTCTTTCTTTTTTCCTTGATTTCCCATCGATAATACGGAAAGAATAATGATATTTAAATATTTCATCCGTGTATTAATGACACACAGTCATTTTCTTCTTCTTCTTCTTCTTCTACATCTTCTCCTTTCACTTAATTTTTTTTTCTTGTCCTTTTTTTGTATCATCCTATAACTTAATTACAAAGTTTCTTATCTAATTAAAATTTCTTTCGATTAAGATCTTCATTATTAAAATTTGATAGACCATTTTGCTATAACACGCTCCAACAACTTTTCCATCATTTCTATCTTCGAAAAAGTGGAATATACAATAATCTTCATAATTTTTTTTTTTCTGCAAATGAATTCATATGGAATAATGGAATAAATAAACGAGATTAATAATATTTTCGTTCGATAAAGCGATTCACTACGACGATTCCACATCAAACCTGTATAATAAAATAAAAAGTAAACTCGAAAGATTTTTTTCCGTTAGATTTTTCTTCATATTATATTGCAAATTTATATAAAAATATTCTAATTATTAACAATATTTATTTTCATACCAGTTAATATCAAATTAAACGATATTGTATCCTTTTCTTTTACATTTCTTTTATTTTCTTTTCTCTGTTTTACATAAAATTATATTTATCTCATAACGTAATATATTTCTTTCAGTTTTATGACAAAAAAATAAGAGTCTTCGTTAATTAAATTATATTACAAATTAATTACATTAACTAAAAAACGATACACGATACGATATTCTGTAATCACATCAATGGTATTCGCGAAAGAAATGGAAAAAAAAAAAGGAAAAAAAAACGAAACAAAAATTTTTAACAAAATTTTTCATATCAATATTTACCATGAATAAATAGTTGATTAGAATCTACGAGTGGATTTATCCGACACGAATCCCTGCACAAAATTCTACCAAATAAAATATAAAAATATGAACACTCATATATATATATACGAACACGCGTACAGAGACACACACACATACACTCAACTGGATCATACATAAAATGTTCCTATGTATATATGTTGTATAT